CACTCACTCACTCACTCACTCATACACACCTCCTCCCTCCCCTCCTTCTCATCCTCGTCCATCACATCATCACTTATACTACACGTCTTAGCACAACCGCCTCATATACCTTCTCTCCTCACACTTCGTTCTTGACTTTTCATCTCACTACTCCGTCTCCCGTGTGATGTTCATATACAATTGAAATTTGTAAAACTTATCATGTGGGGTTATCCGGTCCTTTTATTCCCCCCCCCTTTCTTTTTTCCTATCACACGTGCAGTAAAAGCAATAGACATCCAAATTGTGTCGACTTTTCCGTTTTTCCCGGACCGCGGGGAATTAGACACGGTAAAAATCGAAATGTTCGTTGCGTTACCGTTTTTCCTGGGTATGTGTTTTTCACACCGCCGGAAAAAACGGTAAAAATCAAAATGATGTTGTTTTAACCCGCGTCTTTTCCGGGGGAGGCGCCTTTATTTTACTACCACACGCGCGGTAAAATCCGGTAAAATCAAATGCGTTTTTTTCCGGGGGTCGCCCCCTTTTCTTTTTTATCACACGCGCGGTCAAAAAGGTACAAATCAAGGTGTTTTAACCGATGTTGTTTCCAGGGGGTCGCCTTTTCTATACCACACCAGCGGTAAAAATTGTAAAAAGCAAATTGTCTTTACTTTCTTTTTCCCGTTTTCTCTCCGCGGGCGCGAGCGGGTACCCCTTAGCAGAACACGCACGCGAACCGGCTTAGATATCCTTTTGCCCAACACCACCTTGAAGGTTCATCTGTGTTCAAGAATAACCAACTGGGTCCACAGCCAAGCGATTTGTGGAATGAGCTGGACGTGGACGATTTCTTCATTGTGCCCTGAGGTGAAGGTAGGCCCATCAACGCAGTGCGAACTAGTGGCATATAGCACGTTAATGTTAACTAGTGTAAGTATACAAGTACATACACATGACCGATGGCAACTAAGCTGTCTGCCCATTATGTGGCTGAATACTTCAAATTCAGGGAGGGACCACATCATGAAATTCAAGTCCTGGGAATCACAAACGCAGGAGACAAAGAGTAAGAGCTACATCTGACCCCGCTCAAACAAAAAGCCTCGCCAATTGTAACCATTTTGGTCCCCTTGGCAGTGTCTAAGCCTTGGTCGATCAAAAGTAATACAGTATGTCGGTAGCGTCGAAATGTAAGAAATTGCACGCTCGGATCCCACACAATGTATTTGCCGGAGCTCTCCTTTGGCAGCGTGCGGTGAGTCCTCAAAACATGCCAACGCGCGAGCTCGGGTAATGCATATTGCATTTGCACGTGATCGTGCATAATATCAAAGCAACACGTTTTGTTGGGAATGTGGCATGGCTGGCCACTTGCTTACCATCCAACGGGTTCCAAGCTCTGATGGCACCTGCCGCGAGCGAAGTTGGAGGTAAAATCGAAATATACTATATACACAAACATGGGTAGTTGTGTCCAAACTTTGTCGTTGGCCAAACATGGTTTTCGCGACTTATATAGCTAGCAACAATTTGAAACAAGTGACAGAGGGCATGCATCACCATGGGAAGTAAGCTGCAGAACACTGCCATGAAACACAACTTGCCCTTTCCGGTGCAAGAGGTTACGTCTCACGAAGGCCGCAAAACGCGCACAGTTGCTGACAACATTTTTTCCACATTCTTGCTCAGGTACTTGTTCATTGCGGTGGAAGCTGGCTACTTACGTATAAATTTTCAGATTGTAATTGCCCAACAATCACTATCATCTGCCTACAGAATGCAATAACTCATGGTGCAAACAAGCCGTGGGTAGGTGCCTTTGTTGCCCACTGTGAAGATGATGAAGGCCGGAGGCCTGAGAACGCAATGACACGGAATCCCAGCAAGATTCCAGCGCATAACATTTGAGCATCGGACTCTTTCTCCTCATGCGCAAGCTGCTCAAACACAAAGTCCAAGCAGGAAACAAAAAATATAAGTAGTACATATACAAGAAAATAGGTTCGATTCATAAGTTTGAGCGACTGTAATGTGCTAAAGCCCAAGAATTGCAAGCTCCTGCCGCATCCAGTCAGCAAAGGGGCCACGGAAGATGGTGTGTTCTTTGCCTGCTTGGGCACTATAGTGCCCCAGTGGGAGTTGGAAACTGGAAACACCATTCCTTAAGCTTCCTCAAAGTGATCGCGCTCAAAAAAAACCTTCCGCCCAATCCGGTTGTTATCCCCTTTACAAGCGGTCCGGTGAAAGCACTGCGCAAACACACACTTGAAAAAGGGTTCGGAAGAGCACAGCTTGGGTGTTGCCACAGGTGAAGTTAGCGCTTTACCTTACGACATTAGTCTTGACCATACGTAGGTTCAATGAGGGTCAAATTGCAGGCGCGGCAGACCTGTGGTCTACTGCCCCCTGGCCTGAAAACTAGATGATAGAGCTGCATCGAAGTAAAGATTTGCGTGAAGAAGAAAAACACGGTTCTCAAAAATGAATCGCTGAAATAGCTGAAAGCCCCTGGACATGAGGAGTGACACACACAAAAACACGTAGCCGCACGCACTCCCAAAGATGAGTTTGAGTAAGAAAGGGAAATCAATACGCAAGCGGAAGGAAGAAGAAGGGCGTGCGACTAGTAGCCAAGAGGGCAAATCAAGGTACCCCGGATGAAGAAAAGCTTGTGGTGCAGCAGGACCTTGGTTTGTTGAATGGCCGTCGGCTACACATAGAGTTCAACGAGTCTTCACTGAGCTGAGCGTCGGAAGGTGGGTACGCGAGGCGTGAGATTGTATGAACACGTCGCCAAAGGCCAGACACGCGTACCCAATACGATCGGGCGGAATGGGGCGGGGGGAACGCGCAGGAAGTGGTGGCGATGCAGGAGCCCTGCCCGCGGCTGCTGACGGCTTCTTCAAGGAGACGCGGTCCACTGGCGCAAAAAAACAACCGAGTTCGGAAGGGGCCGCTCTTCAACAACAGGTGGAACTCCAGCGGGCTCGCGACAAAACCGGCTCCCCTAAGCAGCTGTGTCGTGAACACAGCTTCCGCAACGGTGGGAGCAGGCTCGCGTGGCTTGATCGTTCAGGCCGCACCTGCTCCCATGGGCAAATATCAAGAACTTGCTGGTATCGAAGTGAAAAGGGATCGAAGGGGGAAGGCAATATGAAAACCGTCAACAACCTGCATGGGGAGGTCTGAAGCAAGGAAATGGTCCTGCTCAGAATTGAAAAGCGATGCGGAGGCACACGCAAAATCGAATTAAGAAATCTCAATGTGGAGAGACAGGCCGCAGCAAATAGAATCAAATCTAAAGGCGGCAGGAAAGCAAACGTACATGTAAATAACTTGGAGGCAGGGGTTTGCAGAGTTCGCGACCTTTTCTGTAGGTCAAGCCGACGGTATGTCCCGGCGCCCGTTCAGAGAGAATGGCGCTGATGTGAGGATCTTTTGTGGACGGGCTGGGTCTCGGCGGCAAAGGAGAAGTGTTAGCTGCACGCGTGCAGCGGTAGCACTGATACGGCTGGTGAGACGAAGGCGGCGGTGGGATGGATTGGGCCCTTGCCCAATACTTTGGGCGTGAGACGGTTTGGCATTTGGAGTGGTCAGTTGAATTGTGTAATTTGTGTATTATACACCCGTCGCCTTTGCCTTTTGACGCAACGCACCGGGCCCGGCCAAACAAGTGGCCCTGTGGCTGCTCGTAAGGCGAACTCTCGCACCCACATTTCACAGGTCACAGGGTGAACGCAGCAAGCTCCAACAAGTCACAGGAAGAAAGGCATCAAGCTTGGACAGGCCACGGTGAGAAACATCAAGCTCTCACAGGTCACAGGGCGAATGGGTCAGGAAGAAGAAAGGAATCCGAACTTCTAGTCTTGAACAAAGAAGCAACTAACAGCGGAGAGAAAGATATATAGACGAGAAAAGGTAAGGAAGTGTAGCGAGAGAAGGAGACGCGCGCCTGAAACTTAGTCAAGGTTCACCCGGCAGGCAGGGGGAGCTTCTGGCGTTGCGGAGGCGGTTGCGCGAGACGCCTTGCGGGGACGGCCTGTCTGGGGAAGAACTGAGGAACTGGCAGTTTCTTGGTGGGGTATGGGTATACTGTTCGTCGTGGGCGTTATTCCGGAGTGGCTGGGCCACTTGCAGGATGTTGGCGCTCAGGCTCGGCGGTCTGAAGGCTGCTCGCGCCAGTCGCAAAGCGTTCAAGAGATGCGATAGCTCCTGCAAGCGGTTGCTGCAATAGTGCGGTTAGCGGGTTGCTCAAAAATTGGGAGAGTCGAGTCGCTTGCTGGTAGCTAGGGCGTCAATGAGGATATGATGTTGCTGCTGAAAAAGCGCGCTAACTTGTCCGCGCGCAAAGTCTCAACGGCAGTCTTGTCAGACGTTGCGTGAAAAAACAATGGCAGTGCGGCGGTGAGTGGGAAGATGGTGAGGGGATGGGTTGGGCGTGGATTGCGCGTCCGCTGCCTGAGTGAGCGGGAACGGAAAGGTTGCGCGCGATGCGCAAGGGAAGCACTTCTAAAGCTCTGTACTAAGGAAGACAGCTGCGCTCGGAGACAAAGGCTTCCTACCTTCCAAAAGTTCCAAGCACACGCCCCCCCATCAGGCGGCGGTGAAAAGCACAAGTGGAAGGACATGAAGGCGCGCTATGTATGTGGGCGCGATGAAAAGAAACCACCAAATTACGGGAAACAACCATGAGCCAGACCCCGTTGCACCAAGACCTGGGACACCCAAAAGCTGGGCTTCAGGGTGTAAGTCCGCGTGCACACTAAGGTCGGTAGCGATGCACGTGCAAAAGAACATAAAACATGAAATGAAAGGGCGTGAAGCCGGAAGAGACATGAAAGCGAAGAAGGAAAGATGGTGTGTGGTTGCAGATGACGGGGAAACCCGATGAGAAGGACAAACAAGACAACAAAGCCCAAACCTCATTTATCAAAGAAAACCTGGGCAATTTAGCCTGGTTTAGTATGGAAAGCGGCTGTGCACGTTGCATCGTTCAGGCGCCGGCGGAGTTCACATGAATTCCAGCTTAAAACGCTGGCTCCTCTCGCCCACTATGGGCACCTTCCGGCCTAAAAAGCCTGCTCCAGTCAATACCAAGCCTTCAGGCCTTAACCAACCTCTGCCTGCGTACCACTGGCTCCTTTCGCCCACTATGGGCACCCAGTGTTGCTGAGCGCAACAACTTCAACCCCCAATTCGACTGGCGCCGCGGAGGGCGCTACTTCGGGCTGACTCCGGGCTCGCAAGATATGCGAGACACACTCAAGATAAGAGTTCGTACGGAGGCTGCCAAAATGCCTAGAAGCAGCCTCAGTGAAAAGACTGCCTGAGTAAAACGTGTGCAGCAGGCAACAAGCATGCAAAGTGGTCAAGCCTTCTCAAAGTTCAAAAAGCTTCGAAGCTTCAAACAATCGACGAAAGCGAGCGGATCAAAGCGCAAGTCTGCCGACCTGAATCGTAGCGCAACAGCCTGAAGACCTTTACGAGTGGAAGGTAGCTACAACAGCCTTCCCCTCCCATCCACGACCGAAGCTTCGTTGCACACGGTCATGGACGCCGCGTGCCCTTGCTTCGAATTAGCATCAAAACGCCAACAGGCTTCCTCTGATTCTAAGCGGTACACTTAGATGGTTGCTCGCAAGAGCTAGGTTCAGAATGAAGTCCAACTTTAGCAATTACGATACCAGCTGCATTGTAGACCTTGACTTGGTTCAACTGTAAGAAGTGCTGGGTCCGGATAACTGAATGTTTGAACATGGGTGAAACTTGACGAGGCAATTAAAATTAGCAGGTACGCTGGGGTGATCAGTCCCAGTATCACCAGGAAATCGAGAGTGTCTTCGTTGGTGGCAGACTCTCGTTCCTGCTGCCACCCGCTGCCTCTTTTGCTCGCGCTGTTAAATTTAGTTTTACATGTTAGACATTGCGCGCGGCCTTGGAAACAGGCTTTGACACACACACCCCACGCCAATATCCGCGCTCAGACGAATTACTAGCCACCTAACAAGCCTTAGAAAAACAGAAAAAGAAAAAGAACAAACAGCAAACGAAGAGGGCAAGAGAGAAAGGTAGGGGTAGTGACGAGGCCCCCTAGTTACTGGACCTCTAGTTACCGCCGACCGCTCTTACGATTAAAATTCTTGTTTCAAAACTTGAAAATGTGCGCAGCCTTAAAAACAGGCTGTGACACACACACACACACACACGCACACATCACGCCGATAGCGGCGCGGAAGGAAAGTACTAGCCACCTAACAAGCCTTAGCAAGAAAGAGAAAGAAAAGACAGAAAGAGCAAACGAAGAGGGCAAGAGAGAAAGATAGGAGTAGTTACGAGGCCCATTAGTTACGAAGCCTTCTAGTTACACCAATTAAGTGCAATAGTTAGCGAGCGGGACTTTAGTCTTAGACCGCCCGGGTAGCTAGGACAAGGACAGGAGAAACAGAAGGAAAGGCACCAACACACAGGGTGTTGCTCGGATCGGATTCGTTGGATCGGAATCTATTTGGTCAGATCGGAATCGTACGAATGGAATCTATTTGGTCAGATCGGAATCGTAGACTCGACAGGCGCGCGCAACACCATCCCGACCGACCATCCCGACCATCCCGACCGTGCCGACCAAGGATCCTATATCGTTGACGCTGATCCCGAACTTACGCTGGTTCGGCGAAGTTGAGGAAAATTATCCCGACTGTTAATGCTAGCTGGTGGCGCGCCGGCTATCCCGACCATCCCGACCAAGGATCCTATATCGTTGACGCTGATCCCTAACTATAACGCTGATTCGGCGAAGTCGT